GCGGGTGTGCCTGGGCGCGGTGTCACACCGGGAGCCGCAGGTGTGCGGTGTGCCAGGCCGCGGTGTCACACCAGGAGCTGCGGGTGTGCCACACCAGGGTGTCACACCGGGAGCCGCGGGTGTGCCCGGTCATGGTGTCACACCGGGAGCCGCAGGTGTGCCACACCGGGGTGTCACACTGGGAGCCGCGGGTGTGCCCGGGCGCGGTGTCACACGAGGACCTGGCTTTGCATGAGGGCCTTGCACAAGGATCCAACCAGCGTCACCCGAGGATCCATCGGGTGCTTGAGGATCCATCGGGTGCTTGAGGATCCATCGGATGCTCGAGGATCCATTGGGTACTCGAGGATCTGTCGGGTGCTCAAGGATCTGTTGGGTGCTCAAGGATCCATCCAGAGCCCGAGGATCCATCTGGTGCCCGAGGATCTGTTGGGTGCTCGAGGATCTGTCGGGTGCTCGAGGATTCATCGGGTGCTCAAGGATCTGCTGGGTGCTCGAGGATCTGTTGGGTGCTCAAGGATCCATCCAGAGCCCGAGGATCCATCCAGTGCCCGAGGATCTGTCAGGTGCTCAAGGATCCGTCTGGTGCCTGTGGATCCATCGGGTGCTCGAGGATCCATCCTGTGCCCGAAGTTCCATCTGGCGCCACATGTGGGGACCCAACCCGAGGATCCGACCGGCGCCCAAGGGTCCATCGGATCCATCTGGCGCCACACGTGGGGACCTCGCCTGAGGATCCATCCAGGGCCACACGTGGGGACCCGAACCGAGGATCCGACCGGCGCCACACGTGAGGACCTGACCCGAGATCTGACTGGAACCCAAGGGTTCATCGGATCCATCCAGGGCCACACGTGGGGATCTGACTCGAGGATCCATCTGGCACCACACGTGGGGACCTTGCCTGAGGATCCATCCATGGCCACACGTGGGGACCGACCCGAGGATCCGACCAGCGCCACACGTGAGGACCTGACCTGAGATCCGACCGGAACCCAAGGATCCATCCGATCCATCCAGGGCCACATGTGGGGCCCTGACTCGCGGATCCGACCAACGCCACACGTGAGGACCTGACCCGAGATCCGACCGGAACCCAAGGATCCATCAGATCGATCTGGCGCCACACGTGAGGACCTGACCCGAGATCCGACTGACGCCACACGTGAGGACCTGACCCGAGATCCGACTGGAACCCAAGGATCCATCAGATCGATCTGGCGCCACATGTGGGGCCCTGACACGAGGATCCATCTGGCACCCGAGGATCCATCGGATCCATCTGGCGCCACATGTGGGGACCTGACCCAAGGATCCGACCAGTGCCACATGTGAGGACCTGACCTGAGATCCGACCGGAACCCAAGGGTCCATCTGATCCATCCAGGGCCACATGTGGGGCCCTGACTCGCGGATCTGACCGACGCCACACATGAGGACCTGACCCGAGATCTGACTGGAACCCAAGGGTCCATCGGATCCATCCAGGGCCACACGTGGGGATCTGAACCGAGGATCCGACCGGCGCCACATGTGGGGACTTGACCTGAGATCCGACTGGAACCCAAGGGTCCATCTGATCCACCTGGTGCCACATGTGGGGACCCAACCCGAGGATCTGACCGGCGCCACATGTGGGGACCTGACCTGAGGATCCATCCGGCACCCAAGGGTCCATCAGATCCATCTGACACCACACGTGGGGATCTGACCCGAGGATCCGTCCAGCACCCAAGGGTCCATCAGATCCATCTGGCACCACACATGGGGACCCAACCCGAGGATCCATCCAGCACCCAAGGTTCCATCAGATCCATCTGGCACCACACATGGGGACCCAACCCGAGCATCCATCCAGCACCCGAGGGTCCATCAGATCCATCTGGCACCACATGTGGGGACCCAACCCGAGGATCCGACCGGCGCCACACTTGGGGACCTCTTTTGGGGACCCCCCTCTCACCAGGACCTCGCACCAAGACTTTGCACCCGGACCTCGCAAGGGGCGCCCCCCTCGTGCCCCCACCCCACCCCGGGGCTGTTTTGGGGGGATCCCTCAGCCACGTTCCGGGGGCCCCCCCAAAAGCCATCCCGGGGGGGCCCCCGCGGCCTCGGCAGCACCGAGCCGGGGGGGGCNGCGGGTGTGCCTGGGCGCGGTGTCACACCGGGAGCCGCAGGTGTGCGGTGTGCCAGGCCGCGGTGTCACACCAGGAGCTGCGGGTGTGCCACACCGGGGTGTCACACCGGGAGCCGCGGGTGTGCCCGGTCATGGTGTCACACCGGGAGCCGCGGGTGTGCCCGGGCGCGGTGTCACACGAGGACCTGGTTTTGCATGAGGGCCTTGCACAAGGATCCAACCAGCGTCACCCGAGGATCCATCGGGTGCTTGAGGATCCATCGGATGCTCGAGGATCCATTGGGTGCTCGAGGATCTGTCGGGTGCTCGAGGATCTGTTGGGTGCTCAAGGATCCATCCAGAGCCCGAGGATCCATCCGGTGCCCGAGGATCTGTCAGGTGCTCAAGGATCCATCTGGTGCCTGTGGATCCATCGGGTGCTCGAGGATCCATCCTGTGCCCGAAGTTCCATCTGGCGCCACACGTGGGGACCCAACCCGAGGATCCGACCGGCACCCAAGGGTCCATCGGATCCATCTGGCGCCACACGTGGGGACCTCACCTGAGGATCCATCCAGGGCCACACATGGGGACCCGAACCGAGGATCCGACCGGCGCCACACGTGAGGACCTGACTGGAGATCCGACCGGAACCCAAGGATCCATCGGATCCACCCAGGGCCACACGTGGGGATCTGACTCGAGGATCCATCCGGCGCCACACGTGGGGACCTCACCTGAGGATCCATCCAGGGCCACACATGGGGATCTGAACCGAGGATCCGACCGGCGCCACACGTGAGGACCTGACCCGAGATCCGACTGGAACCCAAGGATCCATCCAATCCATCCAGGGCCACATGTGGGGCCCTGACTCGTGGATCCGACTGACGCCACACGTGGGGACCTGACCCGAGATCCGACTGGAACCCAAGGATCCATCAGATCGATCTGGCGCCACACGTGAGGACCTGACCCGAGGATCCATCTGGCACCCGAGGATCCATCGGATCCATCTGGCACCACATGTGGGGACCCGACCCAAGGATTCGGCCGGTGCCACACGTGAGGACCTGACCTGAGATCCGACCGGAACCCAAGGGTCCATCTGATCCATCCAGGGCCACATGTGGGGCCCTGACTCGCGGATCCGACCGACGCCACACGTGAGGACCTGACCCGAGATCCGACCGGAACCCAAGGGTCCATCGGATCCACCCAGGGCCACACGTGGGGATCTGAACCGAGGATCCGACCGGCGCCACATGTGGGGACCTGACCCGAGATCCGACTGGAACCCAAGGGTCCATCAGATCCATCTGGCGCCACATGTGGGGACCCAACCCGAGGATCCGACCGGCGCCACACGTGGGGACCTGACCCGAGGATCCATCCGGCACCCAAGGGTCCATCAGATCCATCTGACACCACACGTGGGGATCTGACCCGAGGATCCATCCGGCACCCAAGGGTCCATCAGATCCATCTGACACCACATGTGGGGATCTGACCCAAGGATCTGTCCAGCACCCAAGGGTCCATCAGATCCATCTGGCACCACATGTGGGGACCCAACCCGAGGATCCATCCAGCACCCGAGGGTCCATCAGATCCATCTGGCACCACACATGGGGACCCAACCCGAGGATCCATCCAGCACCCAAGGGTCCATCAGATCCATCTGGCGCCACATGTGGGGACCCAACCCGAGGATCCGACCGGCGCCACACTTGGGGACCTCTTTTGGGGACCCCCCCCTCACCAGGACCTCGCACCAAGACTTTGCACCCGGACCTCGCAAGGGGCGCCCCCCTCGTGCCCCCGCCCCACCCCGGGGCCATTTTGGGGGGATCCCTCAGCCACGTTCCGGGGGCCCCCCCAAAAGCCATCCCGGGGGGGCCCCCGCGGCCTCGGCAGCACCGAGCCGGGGGGGGC